TAGGGTTAGTCTTGTTTATGTTAGCTAGTTTTAGTCTGTTTTACTGCAGCAACACAAGAATCTGCAATATGTTTACAATTTTTTACAACAATCTTACAACCTTAGTGATGAGATTAGTATATGTTATATCTAATAATAACACATATTTCTTGCTGTAGTTCTTATGTATTGTTTTGTTATTTGCAGTGAACTGGCCAAATTCTGATAACAAATATTGTGAAAAGAAAAAGCAGGTTTCTGATTGAATTGACCCCCTTTGTTTTTATCTGTCTTCACGACCTCTGTGGCCTTCCTGCTCCAGGCCCGCAGCAGTGATAAGAAGTCCGAGCTGCTGCCTGCTGACTGGAGTAACAACAAAGAGCTGTACAGTCTGCGATACAAAGCCAACAACAGTGACACCCAAATGCTCCTCAAGGCAATCACTGTTGATTCCACCTTGATCTTCAATCTGATGGTAAGCACATAAACATTTGAAGGACTGGTCTTAATTAGTTTTCTAGACAATGGCAATTTAAAATAGTGCTTTAAAAATTATGGTAGTGTGTGGGGTTTTTCCCTCTATTAATGACAGCAGAAACCTGAAACTTTGCATAATTCCCCTTAACCTCCTAGGACCTGGCGTCCACATATGTGGACATCACATTTTTGGGTTGTCTAGACCAAAATACTTAATTTTTCTCTACAAGGGCCTGATGTCCACTTACGAGGACGTTATACTGCCACTGTTCTATCAAAGTTTAAAACGAATGTCCTCATATGTGGATCTCGTTTTTCTCAGAAACAAAAAATTAGGTAAAAAAAAAAAAAATCTGATAATTCTTAGTTTTTAAATTCATCAGGTTCCAATCAGCCCAAATAGCAAAGAGAAATTTAAAATGCCATGAAAGAGTTCAGGTCTTAGGAGGTTAAGAAGAAGATTTTTTCCTCTGGATTATTTTTCATTGGAGCACTGATATAGACCGACCAGTTTATCCTGCATTTCAGTCCTGATGTAAGGATCCATAAAAAGCCTTAAAAGGGATCAAGTCAGATTTTCTAAGTTCAGACATCACTGCAGCCAGGGGTGAGGTCGCAAACACTTTACTTTTAAATTTGTGGGGGGTTTTTTCTGGTCATTCGAGTTTGTATCGATTAAAATGTTTCGATTAGTTTAGTGTTTAGTTCAGTGAGTTTTAGTTTTTGTCATTCGTATACGGGTCGTATTACTGCACTGTAAGACTGGAGAAATGTAGATCTATGCAAAGATCTGACACACAGTTGCGTAAAATAAGAAAATATGATTTAGGTTCAGTTTATTATTTGCTGGTTTGTTGAGATATTATTCTCCATGTTAATCTATGTTTTTAATGGAGTGTGTGTGTGTGTGTGTGTGTGTGTGTGTGTGTGTGTGTGTGTGTGAGAGTGTGAGTGTGTGTGGAACTCCAGCACACAGCAGGTGTCGGACTTAACGGTG